GCTTGGAAAATCTTAGCCATCAGAAAGAGAGGCTGTGCCCACGCCCTTCATCCTGGGGCTCAGGGCGGGTTATCAACCTCCACTGGGCTTTTAAAGTGTGACTTTCACAGAATCCTGAAATGCATGCCGGGAAAGGACACACGGTGAGCCGACCAGCAACAGTGAGAGGCGTTTTGCCCCGTGGAGTAAGAGTCAGGCTGACAATTTGAGGAGGAGAAAAAGTGAGGAGGAAAAGGCAGTAGAACAGTTTTGATTTTTATTTCATTTTATATTTTTTAGAGGCAAGGTCTCACTCTGTCATCCAGGCTGGAGTGCAATGGTGCAATCATGGCTCACTGCAGCCTCGAACTCCTGGGCTCAAGCGATCCTCCCTCCTTAGCTTCCTGAGTAGCTGAGACTACATGCATGCACCACCATACCTGGCTAATTTTTTTTTTTTCTTTTTGTAGAGATAGGGTCTCAGCATGTTGCCCAGGCTGGTCTTCAACCTCTGGGCTCAAGCAATCCTTCCTCCTCAGCCTCCCAAAGCACTGGGATTACCGGCATGAGCCACCACTCACAGTTTTGATGTTTAAAGCCCATTTCTCTGTAAGAGAACCAAGAGCTCACCTCACTGCTAAGCCGTCGCGCCCAGGGCAGGAACGCCTCTGACCTGTCTGCCGTGAGATGTGTGCTCCAGTGTTGATTGTGCTCTTTGGAGATACGTGGTGCTAACAGCCCCTTGAGTGGAACATGCATTATCCCTTCCACTCTTAGCACAGTCCTGCCAGTATCCAGAAGGGCCAGGAGCTTGAGCTGGGGCAAAGGGAGGAGGACCGGGAGGACAAGGAATGAAAGAGACTAACTAATGAAAAAGACTAACTCCTTGACGCCACCTTTCTCTGCCTAGAGGCTTCTCCCAGTTGAACTTTCAAAGGGCTGGGGTGTCCTGGGTTTCTATTTGCCTCTTTGCCCCTGGTTTGACGGCCAAGGGGGTTTCCCCCTGTGACACACCAGCGGGGAGGAACAGCATCCACTAGGTTTGGGGAGGAGTGAGCTGGAAGTGTCCGTGAAGGAGCTCCTGACGGTCGGGGTCTGTCCCTGCCCTCACAGTGCTTTTCCCTGTTGACAATCACCACGAGGTGTACCTCTGGCAAGGCTGGTGGCCCATCGAGAACAAGATCACTGATTCTGCCCGCATCTGCCCTGCCTCTGACCGGAAGAGCACGATGGAGACCGTACTCCAGTACTGCAAAGAAGAGGCCTCGCCAGCAGCTCCCCGGAGCCCTAGACCCTCTTTCTCTTCTGCATGGGTCAGCCGGTGTCTATAAAGCCTGGCAGGTGGTAATGAAACCCATTTTTCCCCCCTTTAATTTTTTTGAGATTTATTAATTTTTAGATTAGTGCATTCTCAGCTGCCAGCATGAAGAACAACTAGTTTTTCTCTCTGGTATTATGAGGCCATCTAACATGTTACCCTCAAGGATAAAGGCTATATTGTGGAACGCCCCAGGCAGATTAAAACCCTGTTGTACTCCGGGTTGATCACGCTGAGAGACAAGTTGACCTCTGCCATTTACATTATCTGCAGGCACTGCCATGCTGTTGGAGAATGAAAGTCTCCCCCAAATGGTGAATGGCCATTGCCAACCTTTTTATTATTTATTATTATTTTTAGTATTATATCCTAAAAGTAAGTTTGTAGTTTTTCATATACCATCCACATGAAATTTCTGGTCCTTTATGTAAAGTGAAAATACCAGTAATTAATATCACATTTTTATGGTTTCATTGATACTATTAGTTTAACATCACTGAGTATGTGCAATTGATTCTCTTCCTGAAGAACTGTTCAGCAATAA